TCAATATAATATCCAACTTATTCCCCACAAAAACCCAGCTCAATAAAAAATAACCAAAAAGCACACGAAAATTGAAAACATAAAAAAAATTAAACACCGAAAAAAGAAAGCACAAATAAAAATGTGCAGACAGTAATTTAATAATGATTTTCAGAGCAATTTATGTTTCTCTATCTTTTACCCAAAACATAATTAGCCTAGTCGTGGCTGCGGCAACAGTAAATATATATTCTTCCACAAAAGCGCTCGTTTTTTTCCTTCTTATTCATCTTCAGCATGCAGAAAGCGATAATTATTCATTGATTTTTAATTAGAGTTCAGGCAATGAAACGTTCTTAAAGTAAGAAGGGATAATGAATGGAAATGGCGCCTACTCCCTTGGGAGATTTCTTTTTTTTTGTGTGCGGTTAAACCGAGAAGATGAAATATATTTTATTAGCATGACTACGAGTTTTCTTATTGCTCGATGTGCTGTTGTTGTCTTCCACTTGAAATTGGATTTTTTTCCGAGTTTTCCTTTTTGCTGAATTTCTTTTTTTCTTGAATTGGTTGTGGTGTTGGACTATTGAGTTGAATCCCGGGGATTGAGCTAGTAATGTATAGGCAAATCTGCCAATGTGAGGGACAGGCTATTGTGGTCGAATGGTTATGAATTGGAACCACATGTATGATGACATAAAAAACAAAATAAGCCGTGTGTTCGATTCCTACAAGAGGCTGGTCTCTTAACAATGCCATAGCTTGATATAAAAATCAAAAAATCTTCCTAAAATCCTAACCTGAAAATCCAATCCAAATCACTATGCTATACCCCTTCTCCCCCTCCAATCTAATGTAATCCCTCAGCAAAGCCCATTTTCTACAAAATAGAACATAAAAATTCTCTATCAGTATCAACGATATAGCATACAACACATATAGTATCACAAAATGGATGTAGATGCTCGCCCTAACCATCTTTTATTACGATAGATATCCATAAAAATGAATTGGAAACGGAAGTTCGATTGAAATTAATGTCGAAAGGAATTTTCCTTTATAACTCCGGAAAATTTCAATTATAATTGTCACACATTCCTGTGTCTTATGGACATTTTGTGCTTAGAATATTGAGAATCGACATCGGTCACCCTACAGAACAGATTCTTTTAAATATTTCATTAGAAATGTACGCAATCGACAGTTAAAGATTTCCGTCCTTAAATTTTCTTATTCTCATCGGTTTTTGTGTAGAATGATGCCACAAAAACCACAAGAAAATGAGCATAATGTGACTTTAAAGAAGATGAAAAAGGCACAATGACTAGGAATGACTGGAAATGATGCTGCTGCCTCAATTTAAAACGCTTATGAGAATTAAACATAGTTATTGGCTCAATTTAATGAATTTTAACTATTTTAACAGATTTCTTTCCCGTTTTCTTTTTTTTTGTGGCCACAAAGTCAAAGTTTTTTTGTACAGCACCAAAAACTTTTTCCTTCCTTTCTTTCAACATCGCCATATGTTGGTGATTGCTTTGGATTGTCGCGAAATAATTTTTTTTGTCATATCACACGACATTAGTTGTATGTCCGAATAGTTGATAATTAATTTATGAAGCATCTGCGATGTGCTCGAGATGCAGCTGTGCTGATATTAAATAAATTTTGTTTCGGTTGGTTCTAATGAGATTGTTGGGGTGGAAAGTTTTGCTTCGTAGACGGGATAGTTCGATAGATTTTGGGGTGATAATGGTATAGAAGTGATGCTTAAGCATTAAAACTTTTGAAATTATAAAATTTGAATTCAAAAAATCGTTGAGCGAATTTGGAATTGAAAAAGTTCATTAATGAAAAATATGAATTCAAAAAGTGCGTTATGTGATTTTTTGAATTATAAAAGTCCGTTAATCGATTTTTTGAATCAAAAAAGTCCGTTAATCAAACTTTTGAATTAAAAAAGTCCATTAATCAATTTTTTGAATTCAAAAAGTTTGTTATTCAAATAACTTTAAAATAAATTCATTTTTCAATTTCCAAAATAACCCGTTAAAAGTCCAACTAAAAACTCATTAAAACTTTCACAAAAAACTCCAATAAAATCCAAACATGTAACCGTATAAATCCCCATTTTCCAAAGCCATTTTAATTCCACTCAAAAAAAAAGTCTCCCCGCCGTCAATTTCCATTTCAATAAATCGCAACAATAATTAAAATTTACTTGCTGCAACATTCTGTGTCACATAAAAAAAAAGTTTCATAAACATAATTATTTGAAGTAATGAATTTCAATTAACTTCATAATATTAGCACATAGTAGATAAATAGTGAGATTAAATGACCATTTTCTCAACATTTTTATGGGTTTTCAGCAGTTAACAAAAATAAAATTATTTTATAATTTATTCAGGCACATATGTGAACATGAGCGACATTAAGAGTAAAAAAATTACATTAATTATTCTGATAATTTTTTTCGTTGTGAATGTTGAATATGAAATGATTTAATAAGCATGGATAGCAGTAATGAGTGAATGATTGGATCATTGTGCATGTTTAATGGCGATTGCTCTGTTTAACTTTGGAGCATGCAACTGGTTCAATTAAGGGGCGATTTATCATTAAGTAGACCCTAGTAAGTCACTTTAGAGTTAACTCTAGTAAGGACGACTAGGACATGGTCCTATAAGTCTCTGAATCGACCCTTTTTGATTAGTAATTATGATCATGCACAATAATCATATGAGATGCAATTTAATATGAAATGAGTGTGTATGTGAGTTTATTGTGTAGCATTTATGAATGCATGCAAAAGAATTTTGAATTTTTATTTCTTTTCATCAAAAATTTTTAATTTTTAAAATTTTTTTATATCCATAATTTAATCATGCATTTTCTTTCGTCTGTAGGAGTAGGAAATATAAAAAAATCATCATTTATTCCTTAAGAAATAATGTTGATCAGCCATTCAGACATTCAGCATTGAAAGCCATACCACCATTCTTTTCTAATTCATCAAAAAAAAAGTTCTCATTCTCTCGATGCTCTGCCTTATTCTTTCAATGCATTTCAATTGTGCTGTATTCTTTTCATTCCTTGCTTCGAGGCCATTTTGAAGCTCTTTTCATTCCGTGGAAACAAAATTAATGAATTTTTTTTTTCTCATCATTCTGGATATGTGAATGCAAATGGATGTTAAACGATTCGCATATAAAATATTTTATATATAATATAACTCGCTTGCTTGCGCTCACTTACTGATAAAAATCTAATTATTCGTCTGGAAAATGTATGGGAAAATTCGTGAGGAGTTGAGTCTTTTTTGTTTGTTGGGGAGGAAATTGTAGAACTTGACGCGGTTCTCGTGGGATGGAAATTGAGGATTTTTTATTTTTTTTTTTTTTTTTTTGAGAGTATTAAGGTCAAGTTTGAGGAATTTTCTAATAACATCCTTTATTTGAAAGCTAGCATGGAGTGTGAAGTGATTTGGCACCACACAGTGATTAGAAGTATGATGGACGATCCAAATGTATCATCTTTGATAAAAATCATTTGAATTGCACCAAATCTCAAAGACTATATGAAGCTAAAAACATCTCCAACCCCATAGAACCACGCTCAACCCCACAGAAAAACACGCAAATTGCATCTACAAAAAAATTTAATAATTAAATGTTTTCATGCTCCTTTCTTTTTTATATATATACATGTGCATCCATTCCATCTCTCTCCATTGAATTAAAAAATATGTTTATATATATTTTAGTACAAAATACATAATGACATACTGGAATGAGGAACATCATGGAGCATAATGGAAGAACAGAGCACCAGAAATGGAGCAGAACAAAAATTATGTGTATGAACAATTTTAATAAAAATGAATTAAATTATAATTGAAAAACTATTGCTGCTGTTGCAGCTCGAAATTGTTTATACACGGAGCTTATGAAAAAATACTTTTTTTTTTGGGATAAACGAAACGGGTTTGAATTGAAATTAATTTAATTGGCGTTTTTTTGTGGGGTTTTTGCGTAGCTATATTCTGAATTTTTTGTAAATTCTGGCTTCTTTTAAACGTTTTGAGTGGGTTTACAAAAATTTGAATTTTAAACCTAGCTAGGTTGCATGTCTGAAGACCTCTGCATCGAAATTATTGTCTTTAAACTTGCAAATAAGGAATGAAAAATTTATCTACACACTCAAGCTCCCTCTTCCATTTTTAAAAAGAAATTCCTATTGCAGTAGCAGTTAAGCCATATGAAGTAGATCGTCATTTTTCAACATCAACTCAATATGTTTCCACAGCATTATGCTTTCATAATATAAGTAGATATGATGTTTATATTGTTAAATAAAGGAGTTGAGTGGAGATGGAATTTCATGATGATGATAAGGCTGCTGCTTTTTGTTTCTATCTAGATTATTGGTGGGAAGTATGGGACTGTTATGATGATGATGGTAATAATTTTGAAGTTGGCCTAAGAATTGAAATTTTTTGGAGGTTTGTAATACACAAATTCACCCGAATTTCATCATCAATCCAAATTTCATCGACTATATCCACGTACCAATACAAAAAGTATTCCAAATTAAAATACAATGTGGCATAAGCAGCCTATTGAGCGTCAAAAATCCTTTCTACGCCTCTGCCCAAGCACAAGAACACTTGAGCACATGAAAGCATTTTCCATCCGGCACAAAAAGGCCAATAAACACTGAACATCATAAACATAAAATGACAGTCAACATGAGAGAAATTCGAAACCTAATCTAATGACGATAATAGCTTAAGCACAGCTTTAAAATGCATTGAAGATTCCCAAGTCATCGAGAGAGATATTTCCGTCAACAACGAAGAATCAGCGGAAAAAAATGTCAAGCATATCATTTGGAATCAGCACTGCCAACAAAACATTTCGACAACCAACACTTATGACTAAGTACACAAATAGATTTTATGCATAGAAAATAAGGTTTTATAAAAATAAAATTAAGTATAAAAGGAAACCATTTCGTACCATTATTGGCGGTGATGGTCGATATGGATATACTTGAATTTGATGTGGAAGGTTGTGATGATGGTTGTTGTTGCTCCTTATTACACGATGTTGGATATGAACATTGAATTACATTACATTTGTTGTTCGTCTTATCGACAACGACATTTGACGTGTTATGGCATTTATTGAGTGAGGCAGCTGAAGTTGCAATGCCTGTTGATTGTAATGACATTTGACTCACAGAATGTGTCTGATTATTTTTTGGCTTGAGTGCATTTTGATTCAATATTATTGTACCGGTGGATGTGGCTGATGATTCTGTCGAATCTGGCAATTCTGTAAATTTGGATTCAATATTTTTGTTTTTGTTCATTTTTTTTGTCATATTTTTAAAAATATAAAAATAATTTTAAAATATTAAAAGCCAATTAATGTCAAAGAAAATGCATCATATTACTGAATTTTTTTTAAATTCAATGTTTTTTTTGTCAGCCTAAAAAGCAATTTTTAAACCTTTTTGTTAATTTTTTTTTAAATTTTCCAATCATTTTTGCCAATATAGATTTTTAAAATTCATTTCTGATTGTGTTCAAAATGTGTGTTTTGTAAAAAAAATTAATTTTTCAATTTTTCAAGTGATTTCACACAGCTTAGTTCATTGACTGTTAAAAATTTGATAGATAGATAGAGATAGATATTATTTTAGTGGATGGGGGGTGCACAAAGTACACGTTCAAGTAAGAATGAATAGGAAACAATAGAAAATTGAATTTTTGCGTGTATAAAGAAGAGACAAAAATACTTTTTGCGGTCTTTGACCTTTTCTTGTCGGCTCCCACATATCACAAACACAATGTGCATACTTCCAATTATTGCTTGTCATGTTATACTCATAATAGAAAATTATTAAGCATCAATAAATGGTTTAGATGAGGGGCGAGAGTATGCTGTGAGTTAATTAATTTAATTATGAGTAGAATTGTGAGGAATTTCGGAGGAAGACTGTTTAATTTTTGAAAGATGTTGAAGATTTTGAAGACTCTTGAATGGAAAGTTTGATGAAAAATTTCGAGGTTCTTGCAGATTTTTGTGTGATTTTTGAAAAAAATTTAGGATGAAATTTTCACAAATAATTGAATTTCACAATTCAAAGTTGCAAAACGATCAATAAATTATTCAAAATCCTCAATCAAAGACAATAGCTAGCTCCACGGTATGTCATCAATCCAATAAAAAATTCAAAACCTGCTCTTATATGCATCTACCGTTCAAAACAACAGCCCACTTTACTAAGTTCATTTATTTTTTAAGAATATTCCACTTACATGGGGATAGTAAAAATATGATGTACAAAAATATCACTTTAAACTTTAGTTGGAACTAGTGAACTTAAGAACGTTCAAAAAACATCTTTTATAGGTAAGATGCTCTCATTATTAGATCCCCCCGAAGTCATACCGATAGTAACATTTGAATTAAAAATTTTTTGTACCAGTCATTAAAATCCTTCACTTTTAGAGACTCTCATCTTTTTGGTTAAAGTCACAGAGTACCTAATCTACCCCTTATTAAATCCTCAAGTAGTCCACAAACCAACCTTTTCCCGTCATCAACATAACACACTCCCATTAATAATCCACAAATTCCCAACCACTTAAGGATGTAACAAAGCATCGACCATGTAAAATAATTGAAAATTTAATCAAATTGATATTTTCTTCACGACCCCCATTTCGATATTCTCGTATATACAGTTGCATATTGCTGAATATACACACGCATAATGCTATGGATAAATAAATACACATAAAATTCAATCAATAAAAATATCCAATCACCAATTAATTGTTTACTCGAATCATATTGAATTATAATTTCAAAATCCACAAGAATGTGAATATGTTAAAGCAGGAGGAGATGAGGATGGGTTGAACATGATGCCGGAACATAAATGTTTATGATAGATTAAATATCACTTTAATATTGAAAAACATCACATTGTGAACATCGGGTGTGTGTGTGCTTGTATGTAAATTTTTGTGGTGATAAAGATATATTTATTGATTCCGATATGTTTTTGCAGTCCCAATCAAGTCATTTGTGAATTGAAAATTGAATTAGTAATTTCCTGGATTTTAATGTACATTTATTGCATCAAAAATCTCCATTTGGTGTCTATAGTCTACTTGAGGATTCAATTTATCATCCCATTTGCAGTTGTGAGGCATTAAATTTTGAGATTCTGTTTTTTTAAAGAATGTGGAGTGGGGGGCTGCTGGATTGATGTATTTTTAATGGAAAAATAATTGATTGAGTCAATTTGGTTAGAGTTTTCATGACATAACCTCAAAATTCAGTCATAGAACTCCAACTTAGTATCAAAACTTTTTAGAAAACCTCCCATTAATCTTAAATAAATTGCAAACTTCAAACCCCACAAATGAACACCTTTCAAGTGCATAATTTTGATTGATTTCCTCTTTTACTTTCCACTCAGAACTTTCTCGTTCTAGATCGTCCTACACATGTATGTGCATTATTCGAATATATGAGAAACTTTCCATTCAATTTATATTCAATCTTCAATTTAATATAATTTCCACCATTTATCACAGCCAATTAAATCTATTTAATGGAAAAAATTATTTTCTTATTTCTCTCGAGACGCATGAGAGGGATATCCGTATGTCTATGAAAAATTAAGAGTAGTCAATGAGATATCCATAGTGACTTGCAGTTGAATGATAAAATTAAATGAAAAATTGTTTAAGGTTTAATGAAGTTTGTTGGAATTTAACAGATGAGTCTCTTCTGGTATTTGTAAGAAGTGCAGATTATGTGCGATGGATGTGATGTCTGGGAATCGAATCGACAAGAAAAGGTTCAAATTTTTTTTTCTTCAATTTTTAATTTTAAAAGTTTTCAATTTTCAATTTTAAAAGTTTCCAATTTTTTAATTTTATAAGATTCCAATTTTGAACGAAATTTTCAATTTGTTTCCCAACAAAAAGTGTGGCAAAAATAGGAAATATCTTCAAATAGAGATGCATATGCATGATGTCGAATGACAAAGATTCTTGTTGGCAATAGTCTACAACCAACTATATTAAAACTTTTCATAATTTCAATATATTGCAGCAGCGGTAAGATTCTTTTAAATTCAATTACGTTTTTCTACCCTCAAGCATTAATAGTTGTTAGAAAAATCTACCGACACATTTTGCATTATCATAGTAATATGTACTCATATAACAAAATTATAATAGTATTAAAAATCTACTTTAAGTTGAGAGAAATAAAAAGGAAATAATAATAATAAAAGTTTAAAGTTTCTTTTATGGAGATTTAATAAAAGAAAAGAAAAGAAGTTGACAGAAGTGGAGAAAGAGATGTGGTTGGATTTGGGAAGGATAAAGGAGATCTCTGAAGGGATCTCATGGGAATATGAAAATTTAAAGAAGTAAATAAGGGAACGAGGCTAACGAGTTGATATTAAAGTTGCAAATTTTGTCACAATTCAGTACAAATTTAATTAAGTTTTTTTTTTAAATTTTGCAAAATGATTTTTTTTAAAAAAATGAAAAATTTAATAAAATTGTTCGAAAAAATTCAATATTATAGAAAACTGTTGATTTTTTCAAAAGGATATTAAAAAATTAAATTTAAAAAGAATTGGTAAAATTTTGCAAAAGTTCAGAAAAAAAATTCACATTTTTTCACTACCAACTCTTTAGCCTCCCCTTTTTTTAAAAAATTCAAGAAAAAAAGGAATTAAAACTTTTTTTCTCAAATATTTACAAAGATAGAAGAAAAGGAATAAGGAATAAAAGGCAGGAAAAGAGTAAGAAGCCTGCATTGTCATTTAGTCTTTAACTTCTTTATAGAAGAATAATGTAAAAAGTAGAAATTAAATTTAAAGAAAAGGGAAAGAAAACTTGCAAAAAGAAACTTAAAATAATTCTATCTAAAAACTTCTTCCATATCCTTAAAAAATAATAATAGTATAATACAATGATAAGTTAAAGTAAACCATTTTCTTAATACTGCAAAAATATTTACAACATTTTTCTTTCACAAATTATTTTTTTAAATCAAATCAAAACATTTAAAATAAGTAAAAATTTCAACTCACCGGAAGGAGAAAAATTTGGTTTTCCAGTCAACGTTGAGCGTCGATGATTCAAAGGCTTTGATGTCTCATTCGCTGATTGTGATCTTATTCTCATCATCGGACCCAAATTCTCTTCAGTTCTGTGTGAATTTGCCTTCTTTTGTGCCGTACTGTGAAAAATACAAAAAGAACAACAATTAATTTAATTAATTAAGAGTAAATTTTTTTAATGTTTCGTGTGGAATTTCATTGAAAGTAATAAAAAACTTGCATGACTACCGAAATTTTTAAATGAATGCCACTTGTTTCACAGGCAACAACACTCCGCATGTATACAATATTGATTGCTGTTAATTAGCTCACCATATAAATTTTCAAGATAATCAGTTAAATAAAGACAGAGAAAATAATCGTTTATTTTATGAATGCGCTTTTAATTTTCTACATCTCTTCTTTTGTTTCTCATTCGGACCCACCAAAATAATACAATAGAGATACTGATTTGATATTCAAAAGAGAAGAAAAGGTTGGAATTTTTATTATGAATTTGAGTGGAGCGCATATATGCAGTGAGAAAAATTGACTTTTTAATTATCCTAGATTATTTATTTTTAAGAATCTTTCTTAATTAATTTAAACGGCTTTTTCAAATTTAAATCAAATATTTCCTTTAATTTTTTTTTTCACTCAACGCACTTTCACCTCAAAAAGTTTTCTTTAATTTTCTCGTTCAATTTAGCTCCCAGAATTTTAATTTCTGGTTCAAAATGTCACAAAAAGTGGCAAGATTCATACTAAATCATTATGAGCCTGATTATTAGCTCTAAAACAGTAATTTTATTCATAAACCTGAGTGAAAAGTAAGTCCATGTAAAAAATTCAAGATCATATCTCAAAATATTAAGCATTTATGATGAAAACTCTAAAGTGTGGACCCCATCATATTCAACCAACCATCACAGTTAAATTTATACACAACGCATCCAAACTGCGTTCAAAAAAGAATTGAAAAACCTTTTTATCGCTCGATTATTAATTACAATAACAACAAAACGAAGAAATAAATTAACTACTTTTAGCTTTATCTATTTTATCTAACATACATATCTACATCTCTGAATGGGAAACACTCGATCCGTAACAAAACGATGGGTACGCACATAAAAATAATGCAACATTCCTCCTCCCCCTATTCACATTATTTAAAATTCTTTTCTTTCACCGCTCATATTTTTCATCATTACTATGAAAAATAACTTTAAATTCTTAATTATAACGTAATCATATTGAATTTACATAACAATGTGCCGCAGTTAAAAAGGCTATTAATTAACAGCAACAAAAAAAAAAACTGTTTTCATTTAAATTTTTTTTTATTTTGTAGTTTAATCGAAAAAGAAACAAGAACGAATGAATCAACGCGTTTTTTTTATCAAGCACATGCAGCACATATTGTGTTGTTATTCGACCTTATTCATTATGGCATTTATGGTTGAGTACAAAAATAATTAATTGAATTATCTTCTCGTCATTATTTGTGCATAAATGTATTATCACAGTTTTATCTCTTATGGAAATTGTTCAAGTGCTGCTCATGTGAAGTATTTAGAGTAAAATGACTTAAAAAGATGGATTTCTATCATCAAATTTTGAATTTACTAAACGTACTCTCATTTCGAAAAGTTTTTCTTATTTTTTTGCTAAATACAACTAATTTCTAATAACTTTAGAGCCTTGAATTGTTCAAAAAAGTGGCAACGATAGTTTCCTAAGTACTTCATCTTATCCACTCCAAAATTGAACTAGAAAATCAACTTAACTTCAAAACCACGTGGTTTTAAAATACAAAATCGTTTTCAAATAAAACTTAACAAACTACTTCAAATTGTGCCATAAAATTTGCATGATTTCCCCATAAAATTATCAAGCCTTATTCACTTAAATCCACTCGAAACAAAAATTTCCCAAAGCAAAAACTAACAAGCCACCAAGAACAATAACCAACAATATTTAGCAAAAGATGAAACACTTTTGATATCATTAAACTCATTAGCATAATTCGTGTTTGCCTCTTGTGCTGTTCACAAATAATTTTATTGTTGCTGCTTTTGTCAGTTTAATAACTTTGTATACACACAGAAACAGCAAGTGACTATGAACTTTACCCGAAAAAAAAAATGAATAATAAGAACATAAGAAAAGAATAAAGAGACTGTCGTGTTATAATTTTGATGATTATACACGACACATCAAAAGTGCACACTTTAAAATTCATTTCAAGTGAACATTTCACTTGTGCCTCATTTTTTTGCGCTGTGAGAGAATGAGCAGCACATAAGCACATTTGTATGAAATTCATTCATGATTTTTTCTTCTTTTTCTTTCGTTTATTCACAATTCCGCTCGATGTGTGTCTCTTTATTCCCTACATCAGTTGACTGTAGATGTGTATATATATATTTTTGACTCTATGTATTCGAATCTCACTTTTACATCGTGCGGTGATTTTTTATGAATGAAAAACAATACTGAATGCGAGTTGGTTTTTTTATGTGAAAAAGCTTAACTCATGTTGTGCACATGAATGCTGTAAATGAGCATTGAAGCAGTTTTTGAAGAGGTTTTCTTTGACAAATTAAAATTAAATTGAGGGGAAACAGTTGATGTAACTGGATGGGATTTAATTGATATTAATTGGGATTTTATGCAATTAGATGATGTTTGAAGCATGACTAAATATGTTTGCGTATCCTTTTCAATTCTTAACTAATCTGGGTGCCTTTAAAATTTTCTAAGTCTTTCCAAACCCTTCAATTACTCCCCAAAGCAAGACTTTCTTAAAAGTTCAAAAGTGCATAAGCTTAAACCATTCCTCAAGCATTTATACGAATTTATTCAATAAACCTCTTTTTTACGACTTCATCATGACTACTAATTATAAATGTCAGCCATAAAATGATTGTTAAAAATAGATTGAATGTCGACTTGAGCTTATTTGCATTGTTTACTCGTTTTCTAGCTCTTGATTTGAAACAGTAAAAACATATCATTGTCTTGGCTATAAAACAAACACGATAAGACATAAAATGGAATAAAGTTTTAGAATTTTACAAGTTTTCGATTCTTATTTCTGTCTGTGTTGTGAATTAGAATTTCCATTTTCATTTAAGTTGATTTGCAAATTTTTTCTTTGTGGATGGAAATTTTTTTCTAGGTCACTGGTGGTTTTCATTTGAATGTAGATTGAATAAACATGATCCTTACAGTGACTTTTGTGTTGTATTTTGAGATTGATGGTCATTTTTGTAGAGTTTGGGGGTTTCGACACCTGACTAAGTCTCTGTATTCCTCTGATCACGTTTCTGTACATCACTGACTAGACCTTGGTACCTGTCTTTACATAATGACACCGAAAAGAGTCTCAACTTCAATATTTAAAGTCTTGCTGTTATTAATTATCCTAAACCAGAATCCATTCCTTGAGCTTTCTTTCAAAAAATTAAACAAAACTTACCACAAGGGTCTGCCACAACAGCTCAACATGAAAGATTGCAAATTTTATTTCTGGTCAATGAATCTTTTTACCCAAATCACATATTTATCCAAATGCATACCACATACATGGATGTAAACGAGATAAAGCTTTAATCCAATTTTCTATCCTCTTAAATCACTAAGAAGCTCTTCTTCGTTTACCAATAAAAAAATTCCATTTTTTTTGCCTTCATCTCAAAAGCTTAATTTATGACCTTCAAAATATCACACACAAGATAGTTGTTGAGACTTAATATTTATTCAACAACAGAGAGTCACGCAGACGACGAGTGAATTGATATGAATAGAGAAGAGAAACGGAGAAGGAAGAAGAAGGTGAACCCCGTCGATATGCTCTGGACATTTCAGTTGATAAATAAGAAAAAAAATATTTCTCACGTATCTATTCATCCACATCTTCCAGACCTTCTTCTTATTATTATAGACGGTGGCTATTGGTATTCAAATTCCAATAAAATATTATTCAGAATTATCATCACATATCTTTTACTGCTCCTTCTTCTTTTTCTTCTTGTGTTGTTTAGTTATTTTTTCTTAGAATTTTGCGGCACAATCTCTTATTGGCTTTGCGAAAACAATCTTTTTTTGTGTGTTTGTGTGTCTTCTTGATTGTTATTGTTTCCTTGCCTCATTGGCTGAAGACTATTAAGTATGATAATTTAATTACTTCAAATGAAATCATTAGAATTGGTCAGCAATTAGAGAATTTTTTTTCGCGGTATTCTTTAGCATGAATCAATAACAATTAAAGTAGACAATAACAATAAGAGATTTGGTGATTTAATGGATTTTTGAAGTTTGTCAGGGGTTTTGGAATGAGTTTTGAGGTCTTTAGTCATCTCAGTGAGAATTCAGTCACCTCAGTGAGCCTCCAGGTACTTAAGTGAGCTTTCAGTCATCTCAGTGTATCTTTAGTCAGCTCAGTAAGCCATCAATCATTTCAGTGAGCCTTGAGTAACCTAAGCACCTTGAGTCTTCAGTCAGCTCAGTGAGCCTTAAAAATCTAAGTCAGTCTTCAGTCAACTCAAAGAACCTTAAGTAAACCCCTGACTCTCCAAAATTCCTATTCAAAATTCTCTAATTCATTTAATTCCGAAATTCACAACATGCTTATCCCATTAAAACACCCTACTTAAATTTAATTATTATCACTCAGGACAATTCAAAGAAATTTTTCATAATAAATTTTTATTTATTCCCATCAATATGCGGAGGGCTATATACCTTGCCGTACACACGAAATATAAAGCAAACAGTAAGAATGAGAATATTGTCGACTAATTAATAAATTTAAAATTTAAATGAGAGGCCATAATCTAATGACATTCCACAAATCGAAAGGAACACACAAAAAAAAAATTAAGAAATTCGAATTTTATGCCACGGAGCGCGTACGAGAGTGATAAAAAATGTGATGGTCATGCACACGAAGTCAAAGAATTTTTTTTCTGGAGTAAAAAATTATTCGAAGAAAATTATTAACGACGTTAAATGTTTTGAAAAATAAGAGCTAATTAAATTAATGACTCTCGTTCGCCTTTTTTTTTTGTTCAGTCGTACAGTCGAAGTATATATTCAAAGGCCAGTGACATTTTAAATAGCGTGGCAAGGAATGACGCTTCAATTAACGTCGTTCACAAATAATAATGAAGGAGAGAACTAATTAAATATGACGATAACTTACTTGAGGATTATTGTGTTCATATTTTCAGCAATCATTGGATCGTATGTTTCCATCCAAATCTCACCAGCCCCGGTTGATGTAAATCTACCTACTTCCAAGTAGAAAACACTTTGCGTTGAACCGCATCTATAGTTATACAGAAGAAAACAAAACATAAGTCAACATTCGATAATCAATGGGGGGTGTCAAGTCGCAAGTCTTCTTTACTTACCGTCTCATATGTGCTAATGCAAAATCAACTTTATCGGGACGATTTGTGCCGACACTTGTCGTTGGGGGTCCAATTCTGACAAGTGATAATGTGGTGTCGGTAATGCATACACGATACGGTCCAACAATTCCATAACTGTCGCCCAATCCTCGTCTGATAATGTCAACCTCCCAGACATGTTCTGTAGAAAATAAGAAGATAAAATACATTAGAAATATGAGAAAGGATATACATATTGAGACATTATAAGAAGTGGATCCTTAATTAGTCTACAGTCAATTAAATGTGCACAGCATGAAGAAGAGTTAATTTAATTTCGACTCAAGGCTTACGATATCGCCTTTCATTATTAAGTTCGATGGTTTATTAATTTTTTGGAATGGGTTGGACTCGATCAGACCATATCCCTCCATCATCACCTCACCCAAAAGTCAACATCCTCAAAAAAGATTATTTCTCAATTCACCATCGAACCACAAAAAAAAAACACATCAGCCAAAGTTTCTTGACCTTACTTTTACTCTTCCACGGTCTGTCAACAAAACAACACGTAAAAAAGTGATGATAAAATGAAAAATTATCATTTCGCGAATAAAACAACAAGCAAACAGCAGATGAAGCCAACAAGAACAAAGAAAACAAGAACAAGTTAAATTTATCAGACTTGCAAATTTACATGAATCAAATAATAATATTTGATGGGAGAACAAGAAAAAAAATGTGTGTTATTTGGGGATGCTCGAAAAAGATCAAGTCATTGTTGTTCAATGCAATTTTATTTTTGACGAGTTCTTTGTCTTAACTTTTGCATCTTGTGCAGTTGATGCGTAATTTTTTGTATGGAATGAGTTGAGTTGGCGGGTGTTCTGGATTACTAGAACTGTATAATGTATAGCAGTTAAAAGTGAGGATCTTACTAAAACCTACAAATCTAAAGCCCAACTCTTTGAGCCAGCTCCGCAACAATCCCTTCCCAAAACATCAAAATCCCATCAGCATCAACTCCCATCAATTCCAATAAGCGAACTTTAACTCAACATATAAATCACTTTCTTATTATTCATCATCATTACTGCTTATTCCTCCATCACACGAAACTGCCAAATTTAAATAAATTTCCTCCATTTACGATAAAGTCACACAACTGAACAGCAGCAGCAGTAAGAAATAAATAAAAATTCAAATTGATGTCATTATGAAGTAAGCACGATTTGCAAACAATATTTTGCTTCCAGACGTTACGTACGCTAGCAGACACACATGATCCCAGTAGGTAGAATTGCACATTCTCCGTCATTTAGTCATATTTAAATTGTCAGTGCAAGTTCAGTCGACACAATAGCGAGTCATTTAATGGAGTGAAAGAAAAGGTGCAGAAAGCATTGCAAACAATTGCGAATTGAGAAGGCTGCGAGCTGTTGGATATGACAATTCATTTGATAAGCTTTTATTTCATTTGCATGAAGGTGAATTTTTTGTTCATTTTTTTTGCACAGAGTCTCTCAATACACAGACATGAAAAAATAAATCGCTATAGTGTTTCAGTTAGTACACTAACCTACTTTTCATACATTCTGCTCGACATGTACCGATGTGTCGACCCACTTTTCATTTGCACTTTTTTTTTACATAACTTTTTTTGTGTTTTTTTTATTCTCTTTTTTTGTTCTCTATTTTTTGCAGTCATTTTTCTCTGCCATTCGATTGTAAATAATCCACATAATGTCGCGAAAAATAAAACCGCAGAAAATTGTAGTTGATGTGAGTGAGATGGATGGATATTAAATGTAAGAAGCATTCCAATTGACGCCACTTACTTATTATTGGAATTATTTTAATGTTCATAGAGAATATAATCCAATAAAGTTCGAAACAAAAAATATATTTTAGCGCCATGGAAGTTCGTATTTCAATTCATTGATTTTTTTTCTATAACATAACATTAACAAAGCAACTATTATGTACTGCATATTATATTTCATTCAAGAAATTTTTTCTGTAGGCTCACACAACAGTGAACGGGTAAGGAAGAGAAATTATGAATAAAAAAAAAATTATTACATTATTCATTTATTGAGTCACTGTTAATGGTCTTTTATGTAATATCGATTGCTGTATTGATACTAGTGTTGCTGCTTTATTGGGTTTTTTGTTGGTCAGCTTTTCATTGGAATTAATGACAAGTTATGGTGAAATTTCCAATGAACTTTAAATTGGAGACACTTGGCCTCAATTTTCATTGTATTGTTGAGGTAGTAAAAAAATTGATTTTTGGACTTTGTTTTTAAAATGTTCTAGACTTTGCATTGCATTAGACATTTAAATAAACTTCAAAAAAATGAAAAAAAAAACAAAATGGAGGACAGAAAAATTCAAAATGTTGATTTTTTCTCTAAAATCAAAGTTAATTGACATAAAAGCAGTTTAATCACTATTTTGCTATATTTTATTTACTGAATAATCAATTATATATTCGAAATTTTCAATAAAACTCAAATTATTTGACAAAAACTTTTTGAGGTGGAGAAATTTTCAAAAAAAAAACAAAATGGCGTTCTTTATTAAACAAGCATTAATTCTTTAAAGTCTATCAATTAAATCAAATCCAAATGTTCTTTTAAATCAACATTAAATCAAGTTATTCAAATTTACATCAATTCCGTTCTCATCAATCATCAAATAAGCAAGCAACTCTGCCATCAACAACAAATGTAAAACAACTCTCAATTTTTTCCCAGTAAAAATGATTAATAGGAACGATATGATGGTTAATTTCATTCTAATTTGTATGTCATTACAATTATTTCACCACAGATTGAAATATACATGGGAGAATGTTCGTGGAAGTAAAGCATACATAAAAAAAATGTTATCATGATCAAATTGGTTGATATGTTGTTATGAACATACAATTGTGCGTGGATTTCACATACAATTCACATTCATGGGGATAAATAGCGGGCCAATTTAAATAACCAATCTCAATTACATCTAATGATGTCTTTATTACATGTTTCAATAATTCAATTATGCTCAATTATGTTTGTCGTTTGACATTTCCTTATGTGAGTGAATGAGTCATGTCCAAAAACTCTTTTTTTTTGGGTTGAATTTAAAATATTGTGAGAAAATTACTTATTTTTTTTTGTGAGAGTTGAATGGAGTTAAAAATAACACAAATTTTTTGATGATAATTTTAAAGTTAATTTGGCGAAAATAATTGTTGGATTCAATATTGCTGAATCATTGAAGTTAATTACAGTTGAAGCTCAGCAATTAAGTTTTTTCGACGTATTACATTTATTTCTAAATTAAGAAATTTAAGTTCGAACAAAACGTTTATTGTTGTTTATAAAACATGAAATTTTCAAATAAATTCAAAAGTGAAAAAGTTGCAACTTAAATTTTTTAAAATTAAATCATTTAAATTTGAATAATTTAAAATCTAATATTTTTGAAATATTTAAATTAAGTTTATTTCTCCAAAATTTACCAGTTAAAGTCAGCGAGGGGCTGATCCTATTCCATTGAAAATTCAATCCAAGAAGCCTCATGAAAAACTTTCCCATTATAAATTTCGTAGTTTAAAAAGAATTATTCGCGTGCCGAAAGATTTAAAACTGAATTTAAAAAACTTATTAAAAGAAGATAAACAAGTGTATATTCGCGAGTCGCGATGTTTTACTATCGAGAGTATTTAATCTACTGAAAAATATTCATAATGCTTGGAAGTTTTTTATAGATTCGAATTTCACCACTGACTTAAAATTCAATATTTTGTTAATATGCAACTTTTATTGTTTTCTAGAACTGTTTTTATTGTTTTGTTTTTCTTTTTTTTAAATGTATTATTATTATTTTTATTTGTATTAACTTTTTCGTGAATAGTATGAGACAGTTTCGTGAACTTTTGTATTACATTCTTTATCAAATGATCAAGCTATTATTTGTTTTGTAAGGATATTCCGGGATATTCTTATTTTTTGTCCAATAATCAACTTTTAAACATCTCAATCTAATCTGTTTAAATCAGCTTATAACATCTTCAACTATTCAATCTCTAAAATAATCATAATACAAAACAACAAGATTAAGATTGATGGGAAGCACAAGAACAACAGCCGAGTGGAGAGAATAAACTTTTCTCTAGTTTGATTTCTATTTACATTTGATTAAATGAATTTTATGTGAAAACTATCACGTAACGCAAACAAGTCATTTCTAAATGATGAAAATTGTTTGGTACACAAGCGTGTGCGGATAAATGTGTACAATTACTGACTCATATGATAAGATCGACGTCAGATGATGTTGTTGAAGTTGCTTTCACGTGTGGGTTTTTGTTTTTTGAGAAAGATTTTTCGTTAATTGATTTTTTGCAGGTGCATTTTTGGAGTCTGTAAATTGCGTTTTAAGGAAGATTTATATATGTTTGGTAAATAAATGGATTTTGATAAATTTTACACAAAATTTGTGGAACGTCCGTTAAAAACCAACATTTTGGAGTGTTATTTTGATTTAAATGACTAATTTGTCATGATTTAACTTATCTAATGGATGTGTGCCGTCATTTTGATCTATAAAATGTTAAAACATTGCCATAAAGCCTAACAATTACTTTAAAAATAAAGAAAAATTATTAAATATGAGAGCATTATTGACTATAGATTTTATTTTTTTAATAAAAATATTTTTGAATTTCAAAAATTTGTTAAAATTTTTCTGCAAAAAACTGTTCATTTTATCCTTAAATTCGCTCAATTAAATTCCCAGATGTTTACAAAACCATCAACAAACAAAATTCCAATCCACATTCTACAAATTAATAAAGCTCTAGACATAGTCTGCCAATTATTCACAAATGCATTTTGCCTGCGAGAGAGCAGAGAGATAAAAACCAAAACAACACACAAAAAAAATCTCGTAAACTAAAAATTACTTTGCAAATACTATCGCACACATTCAATTTGTTTATGATGCGACCACTGCCGTTATTGACTACAAGCGTGTGCAAACAGCACACCAGAGTGAGAAGGAAAATGCCAATTGAGTCAATGAATATGCAGACGTAATAAATTAATTGCAGAGCGCGCTATAATTTTTTACGAGTCATGCCATTTTGAGCACTTCACAATACAAACAGTACAGAAACATCTGACAAAATTGTTAACAACTTCATTA